TGGCTTGCAAACATTTAAACTTGGATCGTACTTTTACTTTGAAGAGTGTAGTGAGCACGTTATTTGGGTTTTTAATACCAATCACTCTTTCAGGCTTTTGACCATAATCGAACCTGAAGGTTAATTTAACAATTGTGCATACTCATCAGCTATTAATCTCTATCATCTAGCGTTTAACTGAATGGTGTATTTGCGTGTCTTAGGTAAAACTACATTTAATATCTACAATCAAATGGCTTTTAAATTAGTAGACAAGTTCTCATGCTCGTAGAGACGTCACGGAAACAGTGGTTTTAACGTCACCGTCCGAATCCTCTCCCTATACAAGGATACCAAAGGTAATCAAAGTCGAGAACGAAGGTATGCAAAGGTATGTTTGAATAGTGATTGATGAGTTGAAGTGAATAAAATCTAGGCTGGATTGTCGTCGTCAGAGACGTGCAGCGAAGTGTGCCCAAACATAATCTGGTGAAGATGCATGACCGAGTGCTCTCAGCCAGAGGTGTGTCTAGCAAAAATAACGAGATGAAAATCAAAACCGAAGACCGATAAAGCCATTTGTTTGATGTATTTATCTTTAAACACCTTTAGCTTTTTAACACACTTCTCAAAGTGGATTCTATTTCAACGTGTAACTCTCATTTTATTTGCTTAATTAATCTGCCAACTTGGAATGAGCTGCAGTTCCTGTTCGTAGAAAATTTATATGCCGATAGCCTTAAGAGATTGAAAGAGTCTGCAATATGGATCAAATTTTCGTATGCAGTGCTGGCTAACTGAATGAATCGAAGAATGCACGAAAATATTTGATATTTCATTTTTGTTGAACATTGAAAATTTATTTTCTTCACTATCAGAGTATGGTTGCTTGTTTAGTTGTTTTATTAGACAGAAGTTAGGCGTTCCATATATTGACTTACAAATTGCAGTAGGTTTGAAGTCTTACTCAAGTTTCGCCTGTCTGACTTTTATTTTCACACTCGTGTTGCTGATAATTGCTATCGATTGCTCTTCTTGTTAAAAGTAAGTACATTTTGTACTCTTACTGAGTTGTCGCTTGACCTTTGCCTTTGTTCTCTTTCTCAGCTCCCCTCACATTGCTCTACGCGCTGTTAACGCCGATGTTTATTTTTCCGAGCACTTCGTATTGTCAGTACTACAAGGAAAATAAAGTCACAAAGTGTTGCGTAAGACATTGGGACTGTATTTTCTTGTAGTACTTGGTAACTTGCTATACCAAGCAATTTATTTCATCCATTTATCAATTTTCGGATACCAATAGTGTAGTCTATTGACGAGTTTAAATAAACACTTTCCACTTTTGTCAAAATCAACCCAATGTTAACTATCACGCCGAGCATATGGGTTGGTTCTCAGCCATCCAAATAAGTCTCAGAAGTGAAATCGAAATGACCGTTAACTTTGTTAGACGCGGGTAGTTCCAAAGAAATCTTAACAACAGTCTTACTTCATCAACGTGTAGTACACTTGGATAAATATTGTTGCTATCCGGAAGATCGAATCATGACAATTTATGATTATTAGAAGCCTACTGTGTGTTCACTTGTGGAAGTGATACGACGACCTTTTACATAGCCAAAAAAGGGTATTCGGAGAGCTATCGTAAAGACTGTGGATATGAACAGTTTCTGGTTACCTTTGCCTCCATAGTTACCAAGGTGCATCATTGTCATTATTTCTGGGGACAATTCTTATCAACCCATAATTGTAAAGTCTCAGAAGATCGTTACTGAAATCACATCTGGTTAACTCGGATCTAAGGATCAGTTTGTCCCCAGCCTTTGCCTCATTTTGAACCTGGAGATCCCGAACTATGTATGTGATCATGGCATCACTGCATGGGTATGTGTACGTGGTCCTTTCAGAGTCGGGAATTACATGTCATTATCATTAAATAATTATAGTTCAAATGATTCGTTAAGGATAAACCTATTCTATAATCGGTCGTAGTATGCCTCTGAAGTATCGAATTCCTGTGTGTGGGCGTTGAGTTATTAGTATAATCCGGTACAACTACTGCTGTACACTTAGAAAAACTAGCAATTTCAAGTTGATGTAGTTTCCCAACATAGTCCGTTTTTTCAAAGTGCTCCGACGACGTGATGGGTTAGAGTTCTGTTTTCTCTCAGATTCGACTTCAAGCAGATTAAGTATCTCTTATCACACACAGCCAGCAGTCCTCTGCATCGGTCAGTTCAGTAAGGCTCATAGAACCTGTTTAGATGGTAGTAGTTTAAGTTGAACCATCTCGGGCTGTTGTTTCATTTTGGTGACAAAACACTAACTTTGACCCTTAAGGTTACTGTTTTAAGGGGATTGCACTTTTCGATTTTAGTAGGCTGTTCATTGCTATCTTCACAAAATATCTACATTTAGTCTCCTATGTATTTCAGACTGAAACGGCCACAACGTGAGATGAGACCAATCTATGAAGTCGATAACTGCTAGTCTAAGTCATATTGATGAATACAGGCCACCTGGTCAGGATCTATTACGTAGATGTGACTACTGGTTGTAGAGTGATGTGAATCAAAACCGTTCACAGTGGCGCGAACTCATAAATGCTTTATTTGCCCATCGATCCCGAATTCCAGCATTATTTCACACATGCCTTTCTAGTCTGCCTTTCCAAATCATGTCCTCAATATCCAACCGTTCTCTTTATCACTTAATTAAGTCTGTTACCCCTATTGAGGGATAGACCACCGAGCAGCAATCTTCAGTCACCTTGTCTGAGGCTCTGCTTTTCAGTCGTTGCTGAGTGTTATTCCTGATCTTGGTTTCTGCTTCCGATTTCCGGCACCATATGTCCCTCAGTACGTCCCGTTTCCTATTTTCTTTAAGGATTCCATGTTGGGACTTGCTTTTTGATGCAGTTTGATTATTTCTGCAGTGTCCTATCCATTACTAGCGTCTTCTAATTTCCTCTCTAACATGGAGCAGGTTCGTTCACTAGTAGAATGGGCTATTGCTGATGGTCTCTGGCCTATGGATTTGGGGTATCTCACGCAGCCGGTTGTTTGTGAATACCTTTGCTCTTTTGGTGATGGTGGTGACAATTGTCCAAGTTTCAGCTCCATACAATAGAATTGTTTAAACGTTAGTGTTGAAGATTCTTACTTTGGTAGTGGGTGTCGGTTGTTTTGAGTTCCAGATATTCTTCAGTTGTAGGAGTGTTGCCTTTGCAGTACAGACTCGTACGTTTGCATCTGCATCAGATCCTCCTAGTTTACCGACGATGCTGCTCAGGTACGTTAAGGCTCCCACCTCTTCAGAAGCTTTGCCAGTAAGTGTGATTTGACTGGTTCTCAATGTGTTTTGCTTCAGAAGCTTGTTGTTTCCTCTGTGTTGGGGCATGATACTGTGAGAGCTGTTGGTACAATGGCTGTCTTTGCATTTGTTGTTGTGTTTGCGATTGCAGGATCAAGTCATTTACAAGATCGGTCACTCAGCTGCGTTCAATGTGTCCGCTGGATTTCGTGTTTTTCTTGAGATGCTGTCTTCATAATCCAGTGAACAACCAGAAGGAAGAGAAAATACTTGATTCGAAAGGTTTGTCTAATACGAGTTTTTATCTGTAGTTGATCTGTCATCTGCTCACTATGCACGACTTTGCAGTTCAGTCCGGTGTTGGGGCACCATGTAATGGTGAAGATTTTCCTAGGTACTCCTTAGTATCAATGGAGAATTTACAAAATTCTACTTTTCAGGATGGTCATGTGTTTCCCCAAACCTTACCCTACGATGGTCTGCAGCCTCATGAGAATGTTGTTTATCATGTTCGCTGCTATCGTTGGTGGGTGCATAGCACAGGATCACATTCATCATAATCCTTCCCTTCTTTGTTTCGGGAGATGCTGTGATAGTCTCGAAACTCTGAGTCTCCCATCCTAGATTTGTTCATTCTATTTTTCTCTTGACACTATTAGTAAAATTCCTTGTGTTTGTGTGTGTGTGGGAGGGCACTTTCTTTATGACTAGACTTCGGTGACAGCTTTTCTCAAGTTAGTGTTTTTTTTCGGATTAAATGCAATGAGTTGCTCCTATTCTAATGCCGGTCAGCTTGTGTTTGTGCTTTTCTGTGTTTTTTCAATTTGTACTTGTGGTCTCGTATATTGTTCCGATATTCGGCGTACCCATGTTTACCGTTACCCTGTTTGTCGGAGGGAGTATCAGCCTCGTGACTTCTGAGGAATCTTGGCTTTCACCCTGAGACATTATAAGTGATGTATATGAAGACTCTCAAACTGTGAGGTCAGAGTTTGGATGAGTTTTCCTAGTTAGTGGTGTTGTTTCTTAGGTGATGGAGCTTGTGACAACGGACAGTAGCCCAGGAATGTTTCTAATCTGAGTACATGACGTACTTCTACATAATTGAGTTTGCGTTTGCTTTACAACTCTTTTGGCAACAATTACTCATTTTCTGTTTGTTCGTAGATTTTGTTGTTGAATTGAAAATATGTTGTTAAGCACAAATCGTTGAGTCCTACCAGGACATTTACTCATGTTAAAAAATTGTACATAAGTGTTGATAACGCTTATCTCACTAACTGTAAGCACAGCCTGAAGTAAACCATAAAGAGTGCACTAAGTTTTTACAATTAGTCATTTCCAAATTGGAACGTCGTTCCAGTGGTTAAAACATCCTGTTTTGATCCAATAAATTGTGGGCTTTGAAAGCTACAACTACTTCGGTTTGACCTAAACAGCATTCAGTTCTTAACCAATAAGGGAAAGTTTGCCAACCTGTTCCGCCAACTTTAGTTTAAGCATTTAGGCGGTATCACCAATTCTCACTCAGACACTGCTCTGAAGCCACACGCTCATCGAACAAGTTACTTCGATTTGATCAGAATCCACACCAGACTTTTATTTGTACTTTGTTGGTAAGCTACATTAAGTTTCCTTCCAAAGTTGCCTATTGTTGCTTTATCTATTATATAGAGTAATTTACTATTTTTCAGTTTCAGCATTAAAATATGCCACTTCCTAAACATACAGTTCAACCGGTCAAACTCAGTCAGGTAATTGTCCCGAATGGCATCGACAATGAGTTGGAATTTGTTGTTAATTCCACGGTCTGCAATGTCATGAGACAGATAGCATCAGTTAGCCGATTGGCCAACACCATGTTCGAAGAACTCACTACCGATTTTTCTCGACTAGTTGAGCGGACTGTTCGTCTGCAAAATCGTCTGGGAAAACTTCATGAAGATATGCAAATGGCGCGCAGCGGTGACGAAGACCTTACTGCTGGAGTACAAGAAGTTGAGATTCCGGTGTTCTCTAGCAAAAAACCAACTGATAGCCAGGTAAATTGTTCTACCTTTTCATTTTAGTTAGGTATTAAATCAAAATACCATACCTCCTTCTATGCGGTCACAATATGATCAAGCAGAAGCAGCTCCAGCACTTCAACAAATGGATGAACTCAGAGATGATAAGAAAACTAGCATGAGGTTGTATTCAGATCCCAGCTTTTTCTTTGATTTATGGAGTCAGGAAATGTTACAAGATCGCAAACATAAAAGAGCCGCCAAGAAAAAAGTAATTTTTGCTGATCCATTAATCGGTTATTTTCTTATCTCTTCTATTTGCAACCTATGTTTGTAGCTGCATTCGTTGTTGTTTTATGTAGACCATCTAAGCATTTATAGATTATTTCCTTCTTTAAATGACAAAGTTATTAGTACTTACCTGATCTTCTTTTTATGGTTTCAATAATAAACGTGCTCTTGCTATGTGATTACATGGATTTCGTAATTGAAGTATATATCAGTCTCAGTTCTTAAATCATCTGGTGACTTTTTTGAAAATTAGTACTAAGCCGACTTTTGGAGTGATGCAATTAGTATAATATGTTTCGGTCCTAAACCCTTCCACTTTATGATGCTAGTGAATTCTACAGTTTCGTTTGACGCTTTTAATCATGTCGCTACAACTAAAGGTTTTGATCAAGTTTTGTATTTATATCCAACTACATATTCGTCTACTGAATTGTAGGATTCTTGTTTAGTTGTATTTTCTTTTTTTGCTCTTCTGTCAGGCGGTGAAAATTGATCGTCTCATTTATTTCATACCCATATCTATGTTACAAGGTCGTATTCCCCTTCAACGTCTGTCTTGCCACAGTTCTCTTAGTTCTCTTGAATTTTAATGTCACCGAACGTTTTCTGCGAACAAATGCTACAATTAGCACTGAGATTGATCCATAGCATATTCTTCCTTACTCATTGACACATAACCGATTTTAACCATAAAAAAGTAAGTGTTTTGTTGGGATTTTCGAAGCAGTTTTAAAAGCGATGATGCTAAATTCCTCGACTCACTTTCTTGCTGTCACTTGAAAATGTATGTTTGCGTAGTCAGAAGACCATTTATCACAACCAACTTACAGCAATATAATTCATTCTAATTCACAAGCCTGGATTTGTGTTGCATTCATTTACGATCTTTTTTTCTGTGTCTGCGCTTAGATAAAAATAGGGGACTGTAAGAAAGTAAAGCGATTCATGGATATGATCTTTTTGTTCCAGTTTTAGTAATATTTTATACAACCAAATATCCTAATCTTTGAAGCTTGTAACCTGTTTTGGGTAAAATACCTATTTTAGAGACCAAAAGGAAAGGGAAAAGCTACTCCACTTAAAAGTGGATCTAATCAGGGAGCTCAGAAACCTCAACTTATCATTCAGCAACCAGGAGTTGGTGGCCATAAACTTCCTGCACCGTTATTCGAACAAAACGGTCCTGTTAATGCCAGTTCTCATATGGATAGGAATGTCAATATTGTCAACGGTAAACCCACCCAGCATCAGTTTCTAAATAATGGGGATTTCGGAAATCCTTCATTACCTCCTCCGCCACCTCCACCAAATGCTCTTCATTCGTCAACACAAGTTGATAATGTACAGGATTTTCGACACGCATCTAATCAAAAGAGTGGTTATTCCCCAACTAAACCTGACCTTAGTGGTGTTAATCAGTTTCCTTCAGTTACCAACAACATTTGTAGCAACCAAGACCCTTCACCAGCTCATCAGATGACTCTTCCTGACCCTCCCGCACTCCATACACAGATGACATCTCTTATTTTACCACCACCACTTCCTCCAGCGTTCTTGAGCGACGGAGAGTTAAAAGTCTCAGGTTGGTTTAAACCGCTTAATATGTGTGTTTTTAATCACAATCTGATACATCGTTTGGATGTTACGTGATAAAGTTTCAATTTAGTATATATAGTATTGGTCTCTTACATATACAATTGAATTCGTTCACCCTCTACATCTTTAGCCTAGTATCATCCCATAATTTTCATCTCAGTTGCGTTTTTCAAACTACTTTCCTTATTAATGATTTTGTAGGTATCGTTACCAAGGTCAGAATTTTTCTACTCATTGAGATATTACAAATATATCATTTATTTATACTTTATGTTTATTTCACCGCTATAGTAGGTATTATTATTATTATTCGTTTTCTTAGCTTTTGGTTGTGCTTATTTCCTTGTTTCATGTAACACCTGAAAACCAGTTTAGTAATTAGTTGTATCATATCAAAAGATGCACCGGTGTGGTGGTTATTCTATGTTCACAGGATTTATATTTTTCTCTGGCATTCGTTCTGAAGAGAAAAGATTTGCAAATATTAACACTACTGAACGTCCAACCTTACTCCATAGATTTTTGGATTTGTTGGCAAGATCTTCAAGAGGAGCTGTCAGAATTTTTTGACAAGCTTCGAGAATGTATCTTCACAGTCATTGACTATGGACACCATTTCCATTTCATACGCTTTCCGTTTGCTTATTTCCTTTCATAATGCTGGTGTTTTGTGGCGTGGACTGGTACACAGTTATCCCGGATCCTGAATTATACTTTATATATATATATATATATATATATATATTATATATATATATATAATTTTTCGCAGCACGTCTTCGTGAATTCCGTTTCTATTTGTTTGCATATATCTGATTTGTTTATCTTTCCAAGTATTTTATTTACGTTTGTGTTGTACTTTTTATGTTAATTTGGGTATTTCTAGTTTTTATTTAACTTTTTAGATATGAACGAAAATTCACATCCAAATGATGTAGCTGCTAGCAGAGACCCAACTGGAAAAGATGGGGATGATAGGATATCATCACCCACACAAATGCATGATGGCAAAGAGAAACAGTCTCAGTATATTAATTCTGTAGGTATGGAATCGGTAAGTTTTTTGACCTTTTAGCTGTTTCTTCCATAAGCTTAAAGTTAAAATGCTGCAGTCATTTTTTACTGCGATTAGGGTTAATTCATGTTATACATGCATCATGCCCCCACATAGATTAATAGTTAATTAATGTGAATGGAAGGTGAATCCATCAATTAACTCCTGTTTTGTTTTCTTGTGTGATGACTGTAATACTTACTTTATTGCAAGCGTTTGTGAACTAATGTAATCGTAAAGTAGTTATTAAGTAGATTAAACATATGATCAATTGATTTGAATTTTGTAGTTCATGTATATATAATTAAAAGCTAGCTCTTTTTTATTTCTATAGATTTACTTAGTCTGTTGCTAACCTGGCTTTGTTCCTACTCCGAATAATTCTCCCATTTTTACATTTATGTTTCAGTCATCATCGGCACCACACAATCTTCCTCCACCTCCTCCCGCGCCGATTTTCGAGGCGAAGAACTTCAATGAGCCTTTTAAACCCAACAAACAGCCTAGCGAGTCGGATACTTGTGATCATATATCCGCTTCTTCGACCCTTCCTCCTCCAGTGACACCTTTTGTTGTTTCGCCACCTCAAACATCTATTCTATGCTCATCTACACAACCTCCACCACCCCCACCTCCACCTCCCTTCATACCAAACCAGAAAGTTGGGTCTGAAAGTCCAAGCAATCAAGCAGCTTTATCAACTAAGAACACTATCCCACGATGCAGTGTACCTCAGTGTCCTCCTGCAGATTTGCTTTCTGCTATACGCGCTGGCTGTCAGTTACGCAAAGTGGGTGAACGAAATCTTCCCGATCAATCGAAATTTAGCCGTGCAAATAGTTTATCAACTCTGGTAAACAAACCTAAGGATGTTCAAGTTAGTTTCACTGATCTTAAGTTTGTTAAACTTCGTTTGTATGTATCTACTTTCAAATGTACTACATCCCGTCGTTTAAGTGAAGTGTTACATTTCAATAGTCAAGGTGACTAATGCCTCTTGCTCATTCAAGTTACCAAAGTTTGTCTTCTAAAAGCTCATTGTAAACACAGTGCTTGTATTGATCAATTTTGTATAGAATCATAAATTAATATTCCTTCATCTCAATAATCTCGATTACGGCAATTATGTAGTCTCCTCAACTATGTTATTACAAAAATTTTGTCGAGTGTCATGAGATAACGTACTAAATAAGAAAACAAACCAGAGATGCTTAGGATCTTTCCAGATGGAAGCACGAACGGAAGGTGACAGTGTCCACTTTTGGTGCAAAAATGTGAAATCCAAAGTTTTATGGTTAAATTACAAAAATAAGTTTGCCAAGTGATTTCTGGTGATCTAGCTTCCTGTTGTGGAATCTAGATTCCCAAAAACCACTTAGAATTTACCGTTGATCCCCTTAAAATGAAGTCATTTGGAAGCACTAATGACATGCCTTTCTATCTACACAATGGTACAGACGAATTGACAACATAAAGCCCTAGATTTCTAACACAACTCTGTTCGAGCCTTCTAATTTATTCGTTTACATGTATCTGCCAAAGCAGTTACATTGGTAGAACAGAAAGGAGAGCCTACGTCCGATTCAAAGAACATATTCCGAAAAGTTAAAGATTAAATGGATTGAACGCATTCAACAGTGCCATCGCAAGACTTCTCCTTGATACAGGACATGAAGTCGATATACTGAAGTCCTTCAAGGTGATTAACAAACATCAAACTCCAACCTTTTGATTGATTTCAATTCATATTTTCTTCATTACCATTAATCTATTTTCATGAGTTCTAATCACTATTTCGATGTTCTGGAACTTTCCCTCTATAACTTTATTTATTCGAATCAAACATTTTATGAGCTCATTAACTCTATCTGAATCTTTGCTACATCATCATACACATGTATTGATCCTTAATCACACTCTTATGTATAAATATGTCAATATCTGTAATAATTTGGATTTCAAATAATTTAGGTTGTAAGCAGCTAATGAGAACCTAACGAAGTAAAATGAATTCATATTATTCTGCACCAATCTTTGTTCTTGCTCACTTTAAGATAATAAAGGGAACTATGTGTATGAAATTATTCGTTTAGATTCTTTTTCCCTTCAAAGTAATTAGCCTTTTTTGTACCCTTCGTTTTACTGATTAATGTAGTTTGTACCTTCATAATTTTTGTCATTGATTTGACGAAATTTCTGTTACCTCTTTTAACTTAATTGGTGCTCCAGTACTCGTTCTACTGTCTACGAAACTGTAATTAATTAGTTTGAATAATATCCTTATTATCAACGGGAGTTATCTGGAATATCCCTAGAATCAGGAAGCATTGTTTTTCAATTGTCCTAGGTGGATCCTGCATGTCCACCAATCCTGTTAAATCACCGGACCACTCACTTTCCGTCCTTTCAATTTCGTAAATATCACCCCCGCTACACACATCCAAGGGTCCCATTGCTTTCTCTTTCTGTAAGTAGTTACATTTCTTGATCAAGTTGGTTTAGTATTTTCTCGTAGTAGCCTATTTCAGAACTGATTAATCCGTAGCTGTTATCCTGCGTGATATATTATCTTGTGTTTATTCTGTTTGACTTCTTTAAGTATTTTCCTATTTTTCATGTTTTCATTTTCAGGCGATTTATGAAGCTGTTAGGCGTCGTCGGGAATGTATGGAAAATAATTCCTCGGAAGATGACGATGACGACAAAGATGCAGACAGTAATTCTTCCGGTTGGGAGGACTAGCTCTTATCTATCGTAACAAAAAATGTATTAGGGCATGTACCAGTTTCGTTTTTATCTTCTGCCAGTAACACGTTTTTTTTAACACAATGCCCATCTTTGTATACTCACATTTCTACTTACGTCTTTCTATAACTTCTGGTTTTGCTTTGTTCATGTTCTCATATTTTTCTTCGATTATTATTTATTAGCTGTATATAAATGTACAATTCTGTTCACATAGGCATATACTTTTATGTCTTCATTAACGTATGATGTTTTCTCTGGTTACTTTACTTCAATAATTTGAGGTAAGTTAAAGTTTGGCAGACCATAATTAAATTTTTGTGTCTTTCTGATAATCTGAAGGTTCTATTACGAAGACCACTTCAATAGATTGTTACGCATTGATTTCGCAAATTGTTAACCTCTTGAAATTTTGTTTTGTTAACGATTATTGGTGGGATAATGTTAAAATCCCTTTCTTTTGTTTTAGGAGTATTACTATGATTGCTCAAATCTCATTGAAAAAATAAATCAGTTATGATTTCATAGGTAACTGCTAGTCATTATTGATCTAACAATGCTTAAGATAAAAAAATACATTAGACTAACTTCTCATTAATAATTTGTGTCCAATGACATATTGATTGTTTTATTATATGTACAATTTCAGGGTTGATTTAATTGTACTCATTTCCTAACAATCATGAGACTAAAATCAAGTTCAATTTTATGTGTCTGGTTATCCTGCAGTCAAAATATTATTATTACCACTTTAAAGAATAGTTTTTCTTTCTGCTGTTCTTTGTCCCTTTGGTAAGCAACTATATTCATTTATTTCTTATGTTCCGGTGATTGCGATCGATGCGATTTTACTTCTCGTTTTAATTGTAGTTGAACGAAATACCATCGTTTTACCAAAACATTTATATGCATATTTTTTGTTGGTTTCAGTTGCTTTAATGCTGTTCAACTCATACAAGTATGGATGTCATTAATCCCTAAATATCTTATTTACATTCATTTTTCAGAATTTTACTAATTTTAAGTAAGGTTTACGGTCCGTAATAATCTGTTTGCCTCTGAATAATATTTCCCCCTACTGATTTCTTAACTTACATGTTGCTAAAGTGATTTTTACAGCTTTTTTTCGACTTAAATATAGACTGTGGTTATGTGGTCTTATCTCCATTTAGTCATAGACAATCCGTAACTTTCAGTTTTTTTTATTAGTTAAATCGTTTCTGTAAGATGTATGTTGATCTCATGTCGTTAACTTGTTTTACGTTGCGATAGACCTGTGCATCTATTTGCTGGCTAGTGTGAATACGAAGATATTCGTTGTCGTAATGAATAGAACTGTTTCTGATGGCTATTATTCAATAAAATTTGTATTGCTTCAATAGTTTCTTCAAAATATCCTTTAGACCTTTTGTTTTGCGTATTTATAACATGTCATTTAATGTATCCCAGTACTTTAATACATCTTGGCTTTCATTTTGAAATTAGATGTGCTTTATACAGATCTGTTAACAATATAAACGAAATCGTGCATGCACGTAGTCTTCTACTGACGAACTGTATTGTTTAGCTGATAATATCATAAGATTCGGACCAATTAATTGCGAACTATTTTGTGGGTTAATTTGCTCTAAATAATCAATAAAATAACAGCTATTCTTTTGTAGCATATTATGTTAGTAAATTATATGCAAAGAAATTGAGTACAACTACTTAAAACGTTTTGAATTTATGACATGCGAAAAGGAATAAGACGACCTTCGTGCTTAGTTTCCCCAGTTTATCGAAACCGTTAAGCCGAAAAAATTCCGTCCACAAAACAGTCGGGTCGCTACACTTCCCAAGCCCAGTAAAAAGCGGCTGAGAGAAGAGTTGTCAACCCCAGCTCCTAAAAAACTACACCACTATAAGAACAGTAGTTTGCAACTTATTCTCTTCACATGGGTTGTACTACTAATATTTAATCTCACATGATATGAGTTTTCTAATTCTTGTGGTGTGAACTTCCAATCTAAACATTAGGCTAGTTCTCTTGATCAATAATTACTGTTGGGATATTGTTCCAATTTGTGTCCGTTAAAACTTACTGTTTACGATAAACATATAATTTTTTATGCAGTTCGTGCATTTCATTTGTCTTCTGTTGGTAAACCATAAAGCTTGCACATTGTTGCGAACACTAAAGCCTTAGCAAGTATGTGTGCTTACTGATATGACGCTCAAGAGTTAGACCTAACCATCAAGTCTTCATTGATTGAAAGGTAGTGGTCTACAAGCTGATTTCTTCTAATATTTTACAACAATTCCGTTTTATTTCATAACAAACTGCCTTTCTGATCACTAGTCTTGTCTTCTGTACCAAATCAGTTGGACGCAACAGCACATTCATGAACGGCCAGAACGCCTTCATCGAATCAAAGTTTCCATCTACCTTTCTGTCAGCGTTCTATTTTGTTTTAACGACCAGAATTTCCGTTCATATAACAGTGAAACCATTCTGCATTAATTTGTGTTCAAATGCATGACCCGACAATATACCAGCTGAAGTCAGACATCGAAGTAACTACAAACATGCTTCACCTTCTATTCAAAGAGATTTGGGAGAAAAAACAAGTGCCGATGGACTGAAAAGAAGGACACCTCATCAAGACTCCAAAGAAAGATCTGAGCAAATGTGAAAATTACAGAGGCATTACACTACTGTCAGTACCAGGGAGAATCTTTAACAGAGTGTTGCTGAACCGGATGATAGACGCAACAGACGCCCAACTTTGAGATCAACAGGCTGGATTCCGTAAGGATCGGTCGTTCACAGACCGAATTGTGACACTACGGACCATTGTTGAACAATTAGTTGAATGGAACTCGTCACTGTACACCAACTTCATTGAATATGAAAAGGCATTCGACAGTGTAGATAGGAGGACATTATGGAAACTTCTTCGACACTACGGAGTTCCTGAGAAGATTGTCAATATTATCCGGAACTCATACGACGGACTACAGTCCAAAGTAGTGCATGGAGGACAGCTGACAGATGCATTCCAAGTAAGGACCGGAGTCAGACAAGGCTGTTTACTCTCTCCCTTCCTCTTTCTTCTGGTGGTCGACTGGATTATGAAGACCTCAACATCTGAAGGAAAACACGGAATACAATGGACAGCTCAGAATCAATTAGACGATTTGGACTTCGCAGATGACCTAGCCCACCTATCGCATACACACGAACAGATGCAGATGAAGACAGCCAGTGTAGCAGCAGTCGCTGCATCAGTAGGCCTCAGCATACACAAAGGGAAAACTAAGGTCCTCAAATTCAAAGCGGAGAACAGCAATTCAATCACACTTGATGGCGAAGTGAAGTAAGTAAGCATTTGTATAGATCTAAAAATAAGAGAATTTATAATCACTTGTTTATGGAATTCGAATTCAAAGTTTATTAACATTTTAAAGGCCCTATATACAAACACCTCAGGCAGAGAGAGGGCATACAACCACCTTTCTCCATTGTTCCATTCGAGCAGTGGGGTTAGACAGGGTTGCCCAATCTCACCATTCCTCTTCAACTTTACCATCGATGACATTCTGGAAACGGCTCTGATAGGTGTAAGTAATGGCGGTGTGGATCTGTTGCCTGGAGAAAGACTTCTCGACCTTGAGTATGCGGATGATAATGTTTTACTCTGCGATAATGCCCAAGCCATGCAATCCGCACTTAATCAGTTGGCAATCAATGTCCGTAGGCACGGTATGTGCGAATGTCGTCCCAGAGAATTACACGTCGTGCATTATTTGCCGACTCTGTGACTGGTTGGAAAAAGTGGAGAGGTGGTAAGTGTATGACATGGTGTCGTAGTATGAAAGAAAGCTGCAAAGGGCTGGCTTGTGTTGGTCCTTCACAACTTCCTGGCTGGGATTCGAGAGATGGTGCGACTCAGTGACTAGAGACTTTATCAGATATGGCTCAGAATAGAAGCCAGTGGCGATCCTGCTGTAAATTTCTTTAACTTTCTTCATAAAAAGTGATTGTATCTTCCTTAACTGAAAGATTTCTTCTGATTGTACGTTTCCGTTACCCCCGTTTTTATTATTACACTGCCATACTCAAAGCAACTGTCAACCAACACCAAGGTCAGGATTTTCAATACAAATGTCAAGACAATTCTACTGTATGTGGGCAGAAACCTGGAGAACTACGAAAGCCATCATCCAGAAGATACAGGTGTTTATTAACAGTTGTCTACGCAAAATACTTCGGATCCGTTGGCCAGACTATTAGCAACAACCTACTGTGGGAGAAAACTAACCAGGTCCCAGCGGAGGAAGAAACGCTGGAAGTGGAAAGGACACACTTTGAGGAAAGCACCCAACTACGTCACAGGACAAGCCCTCACATGGAATCCTGAAGGCCAAAGGAGAAGAGGAAGACCAAAGAACACATTACGCCGGGAAATGAAAATAGACATGAGAGAAATGGACAAGAATTGGATGGAACTAGAAAAGAAGGCCCGGGACAGAGTGGGCTGGGGAATGCTAGTCGGCGGCCTATACTCCATTAAGAGTAACAGGCGAAAGTAAGTAAGTACACTAATCTGTGGTCGTTATTTTTTTCATATGGCGAACTGTCATCAGAATTGATTACCTTAAGTGGTGTTCGTCAGAGCTGTCCACTCTCTCCATTCTTGTTTAATTTTGTCGTTGACGTGCTTTTAGAGATATGACTTTCCTCATCTAAATTTCGGGGGGTTGAACTTCTACCGTGCGCTTCACATTCTGACCTAGAATATGCCAATGATATAGTTCTATTCGGTGAAAACGCTGACATAATATAGTCTTCTGACCACTATAAGCAACATTACAAGCATGTTCGGCATGCGGTTTTCTCCTCGAAACGCAAAATGTTGCTTCAGGATTGGGTTGCATCGACACCCAAAATAATGATAGGGAGTGAATTTGTTGAGCATGTCGACCGCTTCACTTATCTGGAAGTCTCATCAACC